TGACTTGGATAATTCTAATTGGGCAATTTTTTTTTTTCTACCTTTCGAAATAACAAACGATTCAAAACTTCAGTGGTTTCAGTTTAGAATTATACATAATATTTTAACAACAAATTCACTACTATTTAAGGCAAACATAGTTGTAAGTCCACTTTGTACTTTTTGTAAATCAAGGTCAAAAACCATAACTCACATATTTTGGGAATGTCAAAAAGTTCAAAATTTACTGCAGAGCTTGGAAATACTCTTAGACGCACTTTTGATTCCGTTTACTATTCATAAAGAATTATTTATTTTTGGGTTCTGGTCAATTAGAAATGAGTTCAGTAAAATTGATAATGAAATTAACATCATCATTAAACATTACATTTACAAAACCAGATGTCTTGAAACCACACTTAACATAAATTCTCTTATCAATTTATTGAAAGACCAACACTATGTCAAAAAATACATAGCAACCGCTAAAGGTGATGCTTCTCTTGAAAGTTGTAACAGAGAGTGGGGAAAATGGAAAAAAAGTTTTACTTCTATAGACTTAAATTGAAATGATTTCTATATCTAGACCCATTCATATCTATTAATGGACTCTTGAACTCTGACAGTTGGTTAATATAAAACTTTTATACTTGTTTTGAATATATATTACTATCTTTGAGCAAATGTTGCCAATAAGACAATTGTCGATGATTTAATTTCAACGTTTTGATTTTTAGAAGGCCTGTCTCTCTCAAATCTGTCGTCCTTGTCTCTGTGTCGATTGTCTTTGTGCGTATATGTCTTGTGTGTCTGTCTTTGTATGTCTGTCTATCTGGCAGTTCTTGCCTGTGTCTTGTTTGTCTTTGCCTCTGTGCACATGTCTACTTTTGTTTTGTCTGTCTTTCTTTTTCTAGTAATACTCTGTCTGTCTCTATTTCTTTCTTTCAATAAAACCACAACACATGACTAATATAATTAGTTTTTATTCCAATGTTTTGAAATGAAATGTTAAATTATGAATGTTTCTATAAGGATGTATGGTGTATATGAAATGTTTAATAAGAATGTTTCTATACATATGTATGGTGTGTATGAAATGTTTGATATGAATGCTTCTATACAGATGTATGGCATGTATGAAATACTTAAGATAAATGTTCCATACTGTTGTATGAATGTTTCTGCACAAATGCATGGTTTGTATGAATTGTTTAATATGAATGTTACATACAGTTGTATGGTGTGAATGAAATGTTTAATATAAGTGTTTCTATACGGATGTATGATGTGTATGATTTTTTTATATAAATGTTCTTTACAGGTGTATGATATGTTTGATATGCATGTTCTATACAGATCTATGGTGTGTATGAGTATATATGAAATGTTTGAAATAAATATGTCATAAATTAGCATGCTCTGTTATGATCATGATAGTACACACGATCAGTAAGTCAGATTAATATTCTCTACAGACCCAATACTTAAAAAACTGGGTATATGTAATGAGTATGGTTAACATGAAATGTGTATGGTTAACATGAAATGGGTATGGTTAACATGAAATGTGTATGGAATGTTTAGGATGAGAGTACTGTGAAGTATGTTATAGTCTCCCAAATATTGTCATGTGTATGTATGTGCTTTGAAAAACTGAATAAAAAACAACAACATATTACATGTACCGTACATATCAATAAATACCACGTACCGTACATATCAATAAATACCATGTACCGTACATATCAATAAATACCACGTACCGTACATATAAATAAATACCACGTACCGTACAATTCAATAAATACCACGTACCGTACAATTCAATAAATACCACGTACCGTATCAATAAATACCACGTACCGTACATATCAATAAATACATGCACCGTGATATTACGCTATTTTCCATTTAGATTCCACGTTTTGTGTTTGTTTGTTTTTGTTTGTGTTTTTTTAATCCATACCTTCATTTGACATCTAATTTTGAAAGAAAGATTTCTACATCCTGTTTGGGAATTATTGTTATTTTACTAATAATATTCATATAATTATCTGTGATTAGTCTATATTATCAAAATTTCCTAGTAAATAGAATCTGTCGACGGCATTCCAATAGAACACAACGTTAGATATCGCCGTATAATGTTCTGGCTAACTACCTCGCCATGGATAAAATCTAAGAAACGGATGAATATTACCTATAATTGTCTGAATTATTATCTGGGTGGTGCCGCATTTCGTCGAAATGGAACGATAGTAGTCAGGAAAATGTATAAACAATAAAAAAAGTAAATTAACAAAGAGTCAAAAACGGAAAATGACATAACTTGAAATACCTGTATGTTTTTAATGGAGTAATTTTGACAGAGTGGACGGGACGTCGACACATCGGGTTTTTATATGTGTAGCGTACGACAGGCCATCAGCTCGTCTCCGTTATTATCTATTGAAAATCAACTTCAATATTGAGATCAAAACCCATCTTCGAACTTAAACTGATTTTTTCGTGTGAAATATACGTTATATAACGACTACCCCTCAGTCTTATGTAGTACTTCTACTTTTGTTTTCATATCGGTTCTAAATCTACAATATAAAATGAAATATGACCCTATTTTATCTTAAAGCAATATTCTTAATCAAAACATTAATCTCATTTCATGCCGTTTGCGTTATATTTGCGAATGTCAGATATTGTAGATAGCCGTCGGAAACACGCGAAGGAACACACGTGCTGGCTGTATCTCGTGAGAGGTAAATGATGGTGAATAAGAGAAAGATATCACTCTCTACTACCTCTTGTCTTATTCTGGACCAATTTCCGTGATCATTTCCAATTTGAAGACGTATTGATCTTCCCTGCCCGCCGAATCCGTAGAAAGACAGTTTTGAAACTAGGAACACAAAAACTATCAAAACTATTTTGTTATACTGATATATATACATACATGTACATATATATATATAATAGTGACCGAATTATATCACGAAAAAAATGCAAAAGTTGATAATGGATGAACCCAAAATAATCCAATCAAAGCGAGATAACTCCCAGAACCGAAATAACGCCGCATGTGATACTGGACTACTGTACTTATATGGCATGGGCTTCTGGGTTCAAATCTCGTCGTTTTCTGGGGTTTTAAAAATTAAAGGAACACATATTTAACCATAAAAGACGAAAAAGAATTAACGTAATGCTATCAACGTCACTGTCGTTTCAATATTTTCAAAATTCGAAAAATGATACGAAAATAATTCCCGGGATAGTATGGTACGACAATGAAAATGTCTAAACACATAAAATTTTATATTTAAAAGAATACTTTAATGAATAAGTGACTAAAATTAATCAGAGAGTTTCAAAAAAGTTCTTGAAATGATTTTTTTTTTCTTAAATGCTGTCAGTTATTTACATAAACTGATCCCGTAGATGATGAGGTGTGCCATTCTGGGTACCGGGCAAGCTAAACTGTCCACGTACAATGTACATGTGATCTAACTAATGATCTCTGTAAATAAACACACTCACTGGTGATACCCAAGACATAACACAGAAAATGAAAGCTTCAGTCATATTTTGTTTCATTAAGGAGGCATAACCCAAATCGGATCACCTTTTGCAAAAAATACTTTTAAATCAGTAAATATTTCAACATATCAGTTATAACAATGATTTATCCTTAGAATAGATAGCCATGCACCATTTTTCGTCTACAGATGATTAGTTTTTAAGTTCAAATCGCACCAGAAATCGTAATTCAAACTCAAAAGTAAATGTTTTGTTTACGTTTTTAGAAAAAGGCGCGTGCGACGACTCTGCATTCTGTTTTGGACTATAGGAATAAATTCACCCTATACAAATTCTTGTTTTCATATAAATTTCAAAGATCGTCATGAAATGTTAATATTCTCACAAAAAAAGTATTCATTTGAAGTGTAAGATACTGCAAAATTCAAGCCTTGATCCGATTTGGGTCCTGACATTCGCAAAAAGCGGAACAGCTGATAGGTGATTTCAGAGCGTTCTAAAAATATTTTACGTGAGCCCCGGGTGTTAATTATTATTCCTTTGATACAACCATACATGAATATAATTCATCCTCTGAATTTTCAATGAATGAATAAAATGATGGTTTGGTGATCCGATTTGGGTAACCTAACTGTCACCTCATCGTAAAATAATTTGGTTTTTCCAGAAACGAAATAATGTGTTTCATTGTGGACAGTCTCACGCTGGTGATCCGTATGCAATGTTGTACATTAAATCATTGTATTTATGTCTTTATCTTAGTTTCACACTTCTACGGGAAGAGCCATTAAATCAATACAATGCTGTATATCATTTCGCCGGCATTGCAGTGTTCTGTGAGAACCGGAAGCGGAAGATCTGGTTTCCCGCGAAATGCGGGGTTTCAGGAAAGTGATGAAATGCCTGCCTTATTTTTGCATGGTTCGTCTGCCGCTAGCGTCATGCAGCAGGAAACAAGCACACACAGTATTGTTAAAAATTGAGATGTAAATTTGAATTTTAAAAAAAAATCAAATTATTAAAGGAGTGCAAAGAGTATAAATCAGGATGCAACTTTTGTTACCACCCACTGTACATGTAGATTATTTTCATTAATTGAAATAAAGTCCTCTTCAAATGCCTCCAAATGCAACCGGAAATGAAGTGGATAATATAAAGAAGCACCTAAAAAAGCGAATAGACGCTTACAACGGTGTCACCTGCAATGAACCAATGAACCAAAAACAATATTTAGGTAGTTGTAGATACCATGTTCTATGTGATGTACATCTTATATAGATGTTGATATGCAAAGGACATATTCTTAATGTAGCTGGGCTGTTTACAACGAAAACAATATGACCGACATCGGTAAACTGTCCGTGTGTTAGGGGGTAGTGGAGTTCAGTCAGGTCATTGACCTGCCAAATGTGCCACATTTGCCCTATCCCTACCATAGGAACCAAGTGACCCCCACAATCCTCATCCACTCTGATTAATACACAAACCATTAAAGGAGATGATGTTGGCGCCGTCGATACTGATGATCACCTCCTGGAAACCTTTAGGTTTTGCCAGTCCTTCCTGCTTCACATAGAAATCGTCCACCCTTTTTCTGTTTTCGTCATCCAACACACGGGTCCGATGGGAACACTTCCGGCAGGTGAAATCACCCTTTCTGATTTTTGGACAAAATTCTTCACAAACTTGGCAATAGAAATGGCTATGACACTCCAGTGGTCTAATTTTGACGTTCTTCTGGTAGCAGAAATCACACCCTCCTACCTTGGGGGGATTTCCTTTGTCTGGTCGGACCCTTCTCCGCGGCAGGTAGCTACTGTCCATGATGAGAGACTGGCTACGTTCTGACAACTCTGTCGCCCGGACGGTTGAGATGGTTGCTATGCTGTGACGTGAAATGATCTGTGACGTAATACTATTCATTGGGATGACATAGGCTGAAACACAGGAACGTGCGCGTGACGTTTTGTTGATGAAAGACTGGTTACTATAATACAGGAAAGTAATTACCGGGGGAATTCGACACATCCAACTCCGTGGAGCTTTGTGCCCAGATTAGTGAGGTTAACCAGTCCACATGTACTGAGTGAGCGAAGATTTAAATTAAAAAAAAACATGTAATCCCCTTCACAAATGTTTTGATAGTTACAGAAACATTATCAACATAAATGCAAATGTAAAATTATCAAATTTTAAATTCTACACAAAATTACGGTCGTCTTCTAGCTTCGTGCTGGAGGCATTCCTCCTTTAGCCCAATCAGCAGAGCGTTGGACTTGAAACCTAGGAGGGGGTCGCTGGTTCGATCCCCGGGGGAAGCAACTACTCATTTCCTGTTACTCATATAATGAAATAGTTTATAATCGGTATAAACGATCATCTGAAATAAACTAAAGATAGCTTACACATACGCATTTTTGTCAAAAACTCATAACAGTATAATTACGATAATGTTTATTTATCCTTACCGTGTTCGGTGTTGGTAAAACTTAAAAACAGCATGAGGCAGACGAATAATTTAACATGTCTATGTAAATGTGACAGTTTTCATTTCATAAAAAAATGACTGTACATCACTTTTTTGATAAATTAACCAAACCCAGGCACAGCCCCAAATAGATAATATATTAAATATTATTGCAGGGTTATAACAGCAAGTACTTGAACAATAAAATACATTTCAGACACACTTTTGATTCTTCAGATTTTAATTGCAAACTATGTTTATGTTATTATCCATACACACATATATGTTGTTTAATTCTCTGTTGGTCATGGTTCTGTAACTAACCATACACACATATATGTTGTTTAATTCTCTGTTGGCAATGTTTATGTAACTAACCATACACACATACATGTTGTTTAATAATCTGTTGGCAATGTTTATGTAACTATCCATACACACATACATGTTGTTTAATTCTCTGTTGGCAATGTTTATGTAACTAACCATACACACATACATGTTGTTTAATAATCTGTTGGCAATGTTTATTTAACTAACCATACACACATATATGTTGTTTTCTCATTAAACATCGCTATCATTGACAACAGGATGTTTGCTTACTCAGGGCCAGTACGTATCACGAGTTGTCACCCCTAGTATACCGACACGGTCAGACATTGGATGTTGTATGTATTGCTCTGCTTACTTTCATTTTAAATAAAATTTATGGAATACATTAACATGACGATACATAGATATATAGTTAATATCGTACATACTTCAGATGATGACAATAGCAGTTTTTAAAGATGAAATCTACTTAGCTGAAGTACCCCATCAACAAATAACATATACTGAGTGGATACTTCCAGAATCGACCAATGAGATATGACCTTCAGAAACTAGAATGTTTTGATGGAAGAAAGGACACATATTGAGCAAGGTGAACCCCCAGGGGCAAGACAGCTATGTAGGGTGAGGGGGAGCATCACTATAGGGGCGTGACACTGGGATGAGGCACCCGTTTGGGGCAAGGAGAACAACGCAGGAATTTGGTGAAGGGAACATCACTGGAACGAGGCACGTGTAGATGCGAGGCGAAGGAACAACAATACAGGGCGTGGCACTTGTATGGGTCGAGAAGAACACCACAGGAACTAGGCATTTGTTTGGATCAATACACTTGTATAGGGCGAGGTTGACAACACAATGACGTGGTACGTATGTGGGGCGAGGGAACATCTCAGGGACGTGATACTTGAATAGGGCAATGAAGTATCAAAGGGGCGTGACAGTTGTGTAGGGCAAAGAGACACCACAGGGGTATGATACTTTTACGGGGCAAGGGATTACCTCAGGGACGTTATACGAGGGGAACTCGTAGGGACGAGGCATTTGGGTGGGTAGAGGAAAATACAGAGATGCCCTATCTCAATTCGGGATTGTTAAAAATGACACAAAAGCACTAATATACAAAACAATCCGATACCACATACAACAATAAACATTAAATAAAAAAGATAAACGGGAACATGAAAAACAACAAAAAAACTCAACAAACCAACGGAACGAAGACTATCACAAAAAACAGTTGGATACCAACCTCAATACGCAATCAAAAGCATCATAGATATAAAACAAAATTGAAGTAGCCGGGAACAAAGCAGGAACAACAAATTAGCCGACAAAACAGAAACAACAAGTTAGCCGACAAAACAGGAACAACAAGTTGTCCGACAAAACAGAAACAACAAATTAGCAGACGAAACAGGAACAAGTTAGTCGACAAAACAGGAACAACAAGTTAGCAGACAAAACAGGAACAAATTAGCCGACAAAGCAGGAACAACAAATTACCAGACGAAACGGGAACAAGTTAGCCGACAAAGCAGGAACAACAAGTTAATCGACAAAACAGGAACAACAACTTAGCCGACAAAACAGGAACAACAAGTCAGCAGACAAAACAGAAACAACAAATTAGCAGACGAAACAGAAACAACAAGTTAGCAGACAAACAGGAACAATAAATTAGCAGACAATACAGGAACAACAAGTTACCGGACAAAACAGGAACAACAAGTTAGCAAACAAACAGGAACAACAAGTTACCGGACAAAACAGGAACAACAAGTTACCGGACAAAACAGGAACAACAACTTACCGGACAAAAAAGGAACAACAAGTTACCGGACTAAACAGGAACAACAAGATACCGGACAAAACAGGAACAACAACTTACCGGACAAAAAAGGAACAACAAGTTACCGGACTAAACAGGAACAACAACTTACCGGACAAAACAGGAACAACAAGTTTGCGTACAATACAGGAACAACAAGTAACCGGACAAAACAGGAACAACAAGATACCGGACAAAACAGGAACAACAACTTACCGGACAAAAAAGGAAAAACAAGTTACCGGACTAAACAGGAACAACAAGTTACAGGACAAAACAGGAACAACAAATTACCGGACAAAAAAAGGCAATAACATAGAGAAACAATGGACAAAAGATTGATAGCATGTAGACACCAGAGACAAAAGAGAGACAATACAGGGAAACTTGCGTCAAAACGGCGACAAATGAATACAGGGACAAATAACACGGCAACTCTTGTAATACTAGTGCAAATTAGGGGGCAAAACAACTCATAAATAACATTTACAATGATGTCTTAACTACAACGCGTAGCTGTACTGTACACGCGTACATAGATTTATTAACATGATTCCATAGAAGATAAATCAATAGGCATGTTATTAAAATGTCAATAAAATGTTCCATTGATTTGAACAATATTTATTACTTAATTAAGGAAAATGATTACATGCCTAAATATATAATAAAAAAATATGTCTAAACGTTGATTTGAATCCACATCGTTCAAATTCATATTAAATTGGTTTTTTATCTATTCAATACATTTTCGCTACGAAAAAATTATTTGCTCATCAATATTTTGTTCCGTTTTCAAAAATGCCGACTTAGGGAAATACGGGCAGTTTTCCGCCATAGCTCTTTGGTCTCTGACTAATTTAATATTGATCGTTCGTTGTTTACAATGAGTAAATCACAGATATAACTTACGTATGTTATCGAATGTATCAGTAATATACAATGAGTGAATCACAGATATATAACTTACGTATGTTATCGAATGTATCTGTTATATACAATGAGTGAATCATAGATATATAACTTACGTATGTTATCGAATGGATCAGTAATACACAATGAGTGAATCAGATATATAACTTACGTATGTTATCGAATGTATCTGTTATATACAATGAGTAAATCACAGATATATAACCTACGTATGTTATCGAATGTATCAGTCAATCACAGATAAGACTTACATATGTTATCGAATGTATCAGTAATATACAATGAGTGAATCACAGGTATATAACGTACGTATGTTATCGAATGGATCAGTAATATACAGTAAGTGAATCACAGATATATAACTTACGTATGTTATCGAATGTATCTGTTATAAACAATGAGTGAATCACAGGTATATAACGTACGTATGTTATCGAATGGATCAGTAATATACAGTAAGTGAATCACAGATATATAACTTACGTATGTTATCGAATGTATCAGTCAATCACAGATATATAACTTACGCATGTTATCGAATGGATCAGAAATATACAGTAAGTGAATCACAGATATCTAACTTACGTATGTTATCGAATGTTTCTGTTATAAACAATGAGTGAATCACAAGTATATAACGTACGTATGTCATCGAATGGATCAGTAATATATAGTAAGTGAATCACAGATATCTAACTTACGTATGTTATCGAATGTATCAGTTATATACAGTAAGTGAATCACAGATATATAACTTACGTATGTTATCAAGTGTATCTGTTATATACAATGAGTGAATCACAGATGTATAACTTACGTATGTTATCGAGTGTATCTGTTATATACAGTAAGTGAATCACAGATATATAACTTACGTATATTATCGAATTTATCAGTCAATCACAGATAAGACTTACGTATGTTATCGAATGTATCAGTCGATCACAGATAAGACTTACGTATGTTATCGAATGTATCAGTAATATACAATGAGTGAATCAGATATATAACTAACGTATGTTATCGAATGTATCAGTCAATCACAGATAAGACTTACGTATGTTATCGAATGTATCAGTAATATACAATGAGTGAATCAGATATATAACTTATGAGTGAATCACAGATATATAACTTACGCATGTTATCGAATGTATCAGTAATATACAATGAGTGAATCAGATATATAACTTATGAGTGAATCACAGATATATAACTTACGTATGATATCGAGTGTATCTGTTATATACAATGAGTGACTCACAGATATATAACTTACGTATGTTATCGATTGTATCTGTTATATACAATGAGTGAATCACAAATATATAACTTACGTATGTTATCGAGTGTATCTGTTATATACAATGAGTGACTCACAGATATATAACTTACGTATGTTATCAAGTGTATCTGTTATATACAATGAGTGAATCATAGATATATAACTTACGTATGTTATCGAATTTATCAGTCAATCACAGATATATAACTTACGTATGTTATCGACTGTATCAGTCAATCACAGATATATAACTAACGTATGTTATCGAGTGTATCTGTTATATACAGTAAGTGAATCACAGATATATAACTGTTATATACAATGAGTGAATCACAGATGTATAACTTACGTATGTTATCGAATGTATCAGTCCATCACAGATAAGACTTACGTATGTTATCGAATGTATCAGTCGATCACAGATAAGACTTACGTATGTTATCGAATGTATCAGTTATATACAGTAAGTGAATCACAGATATATAACTGTTATATACAATGAGTGAATCACAGATGTATAACTTACGTATGTTATCGAATGTATCAGTAATATACAATGAGTTAATCAGATATATAACTTACGTATGTTATCGAATGTATCAGTTATATACAGTAAGTGAATCACAGATATATAACTGTTATATACAATGAGTGAATCACAGATGTATAACTTACGTATGTTATCGAGTGTATCTGTTATATACAGTAAGTGAATCACAGATATATAACTGTTATATACAATGAGTGAATCACAGATGTATAACTTACGTATGTTATCGAATGTATCAGTCCATCACAGATAAGACTTACGTATGTTATCGAATGTATCAGTATAATATATAATGAGTAAATCACAGATAAGACTTACGTATGTTATCGAATGTATCAGTCGATCACAGATAAGACTTACGTATGTTATCGAATGTATCAGTCGATCACAGATAAGACTTACGTATGTTATCGAATGTATCAGTCCATCACAGATAAGACTTACGTATGTTATCGAATGTATCAGTAATATACAGCGAGTCAATCACAGATATATAACTAACGTATGTTATCGAATGTATCAGTCAATCACAGATAAGACTTACGTATATTATCGAGTGTATCTGTTATATACAATGAGTGACTCACAGATATATAACTTACGTATGTTATCGAATTTATCAGTCAATCACAGATAAGACTTACGTATATTATCGAGTGTATCTGTTATATACAATGAGTGAATCATAGATATATAACTTACGTATGTTATCGAATGGATTGTTATATACAATGAGTGAATCACAGATATATAACTAACGTATGTTATCGAATGTATCAGTCAATCACAGATAAGACTTACGTATGTTATCGAATGTATCAGTATAATATATAATGAGTAAATCACAGATAAGACTTACGTATGTTATCGAATGTATCAGTTATATACAATGAGTGAATCACAGATATATAACCTACGTATGTTATCGAATGCATCAGTTATATACAATGAGCGTGAACGTAAGAGGCTCTTCTTTATCTGTTGTCGTCTGGTCTAAAGTTCCATAAACTATATATCATTTTCCAAATCGATACTCCAAACACCTACATCGACAAGACTTCACTATCATTCGCCTGAACGACGAATCGAAAAACCCATAAAAGAACGGATTTGCGATATGGTTAATGAAGTAAGTAAAAAACAAGTATGTATACATTTGTTTCTGTTCGTCCGAGTTATTAATCCAAAACGACGGAGCGTCCCACATTTCCTTGGAGAACATGTTGGCCAAAAGTGTCGGTAAGTAGGACACCACGAAGAATATAGAGATCCCCATGAACAAGATTGTATATCGTCTGCTTACCGACCGCGCGCGCTTCTGTTTGAACTGAGGCTTTGACATGCTGCCAGTGGGTGAGGTTGGCGAAGTAGGACAACTGCAAGACCCACGTGACCTACGGGATCCTTTAGGGCTCATCAAGTTTTGTCTGGTTGAAAGGTCACTTTCTGAGGTTGGTGTTTTTCTCTCTGGTATTTGAAGCCTTGGTCCGCCGTTACAGCTATTTGCTGGGGAGTACGTGGGTTGACAGTCGCTCTCGGAGCCAGAGGTCATGCTGCTAGCCCGCGAGTTCTCCACCCGTTTGGTCTGAATGTATATTTTCTGACCCACGCACGAGTACATCACTATTAGGGCTATTAAAATAGCTACAACAACAACGAAACAGAGCACCTGGTAGTAGTATATCGTGATATTCATCAGCTCCGACTCCTCTGTCCGAAGTCCACATCGGTACCCAACCACTGTGATGTTTTGTATTGTCTCCCGTATTGGAATTTCTCCAAAGAAAACCAGCTGAGGGATGGCCATCACGATAGCTGTACTTATGCTTATTCCAGCATCAATTTTGCAGCGCTTCAAGTCGTATTTTTTCCCAAAAGGACGACATACCTTTCGGAATCTCTGAATAGCTATCACTAGCATGAGTAGAACTGAAGAATTAAGCATGACTCGGAAAACAAAGATTGACATTTTGCAGATAGCATCCCCATAGAAAGTCACAGGTCTAATGCTGAGTATAAGTGATATAATCGGCCCAACGAGACACACAAAGGCATCCATTATGGCAAGCAACGGAATGAAGAACCGGTCGTTGATTTTTCCTTTCATGCAAAATCGGTAGACAATGAACACTACCATGTTTCCAAAGAAACCCAAAAGTGTAGTGAGAACGAAAAGGACGTCTAGAGGAATGAACAAAAGTGCTAGTCTAGTGTTCCATTCATGTAGTAGGACATCCGGGTCAGTGAAAACCAAAGTTACACTGGCAGTGTTGTTCAAAGACGTCATTGTAAGTTCTGATTCCAAATGTAGCGACTTGCAAGTAATGACAGTTAACGTTTTCACTCATTAACTCGTGAAGTATGTCGATCCCCAACAATGGAGGGTGAGGGCTGTGACTAATCGACCATTTATAATTAAATCCTCGTGTCACGCGCTGTATCCATTCTTCATATGTTTACTCCGAACTTAACATTGTCCTTTGTGATCACACATGCCCGATTCATTCACATATGGTGGAAATACTTCCCTGTCTCTCGTTTGCGCTATATTACAGGATTTGCGGCGGATGTGGTACTTGAATTTCAAGTACAGTGACAAATGTACTTCGTAATGCACGTGCAGACATATTGTTCAGTATGTATAAGCTATATATAGGTAGGTCACAAACACATTTCAGCATTGCATATTGCTATAGATCGTAACTTCAGTACATTTTCGGTAAAAAATAACACCTGTTATAAACCGATGTATTTTCTCTTAACCCAAACTACTCAGATTTAAATGCAGATATTACATATGGCAGTCCGATGTCCCCAATACTTTGTGGTGAGACGTCATATCAGTCATAAGGGTCCGGACATATCCCAAGACTTTGTGGTGAGGGGACACATCAGTCATTTGGTCAGGATATATCCCCAATACTTTGTGGTGAGGGGACACATCAGTCATTTGGTCAGGATATATCCCCAATACTTTGTGGTGAGGGGACACATCAGTCATTTGGTCAGGATGTATCCCCAATACTTTGTGGTGAGGGGACACATCAGTCATACGGGTCAGGATATATCCCCAATACTTTGTGGTGAGGGGACACATCAGTCATACGGGTCAGGATATATCCCCAATACTTTGTGGTGAGGGGACACATCAGTCATTTGGTCAGGATATATCCCCAATACTTTGTGGTGAGGGGACACATCAGTCATACGGGTCAGGATATATCCCCAATACTTTGTGGTGAGGGGACACATCAGTCATACGGGTCAGGATATATCCCCAATACTTTGTGGTGAGGGGACACATCAGTCATACGGGTCAGGATATATCCCCAATACTTTGTGGTGAGGGGACACATCAGTCATACGGGTCAGGATATATCCCCAATACTTTGTGGTGAGGGGACACATCAGTCATACGGGTCAGGATATATCCCCAATACTTTGTGGTGAGGGGACACATCAGTCATACGGGTCAGGATATATCCCCAATACTTTGTGGTGAGGGGACACATCAGTCATACGGGTCAGGATATATCCCCAATACTTTGTGGTGAGGGGACACATCAGTCATACGGGTCAGGATATATCCCCAATACTTTGTGGTGAGGGGACACATCAGTCATACGGGTCAGGATATATCCCCAATACTTTGTGGTGAGGGGACACATCAGTCATACGGGTCAGGATATATCCCCAATACTTTGTGGTGAGGGGACACATCAGTCATACGGGTCAGGATATATCCCCAATACTTTGTGGTGAGGGGACACATCAGTCATACGGGTCAGGATATATCCCCAATACTTTGTGGTGAGGGGACACATCAGTCATACGGGTCAGGATATATCCCCAATACTTTGTGGTGAGGGGACACATCAGTCATACGGGTCAGGATATATCCCCAATACTTTGTGGTGAGGGGACACATCAGTCATACGGGTCAGGATATATCCCCAATACTTTGTGGTGAGGGGACACATCAGTCATACGGGTCAGGATATATCCCCAATACTTTGTGGTGAGGGGACACATCAGTCATACGGGTCAGGATATATCCCCAATACTTTGTGGTGAGGGGACACATCAGTCATACGGGTCAGGATATATCCCCAATACTTTGTGGTGAGGGGACACATCAGTCATACGGGTCAGGATATATCCCCAATACTTTGTGGTGAGGGGACACATCAGTCATACGGGTCAGGATATATCCCCAATACTTTGTGGTGAGGGGACACATCAGTCATACGGGTCAGGATATATCCCCAATACTTTGTGGTGAGGGGACACATCAGTCATACGGGTCAGGATATATCCCCAATACTTTGTGGTGAGGGGACACATCAGTCATACGGGTCAGGATATATCCCCAATACTTTGTGGTGAGGGGACACATCAGTCATACGGGTCAGGATATATCCCCAATACTTTGTGGTGAGGGGACACATCAGTCATACGGGTCAGGATATATCCCCAATACTTTGTGGTGAGGGGACACATCAGTCATACGGGTCAGGATATATCCCCAATACTTTGTGGTGAGGGGACACATCAGTCATACGGGTCAGGATATATCCCCAATACTTTGTGGTGAGGGGACACATCAGTCATACGGGTCAGGATATATCCCCAATACTTTGTGGTGAGGGGACACATCAGTCATACGGGTCAGGATATATCCCCAATACTTTGTGGTGAGGGGACACATCAGTCATACGGGTCAGGATATATCCCCAATACTTTGTGGTGAGGGGACACATCAGTCATACGGGTCAGGATATATCCCCAATACTTTGTGGTGAGGGGACACATCAGTCATACGGGTCAGGATATATCCCCAATACTTTGTGGTGAGGGGACACATCAGTCATACGGGTCAGGATATATCCCCAATACTTTGTGGTGAGGGGACACATCAGTCATACGGGTCAGGATATATCCCCAATACTTTGTGGTGAGGGGACACATCAGTCATACGGGTCAGGATATATCCCCAATACTTTGTGGTGAGGGGACACATCAGTCATACGGGTCAGGATATATCCCCAATACTTTGTGGTGAGGGGACACATCAGTCATACGGGTCAGGATATATCCCCAATACTTTGTGGTGAGGGGACACATCAGTCATACGGGACAGGATATATCCCCAATATTTTGTGGTGAGGGGACACATCAGTCATACAGGTCACGATATGTCCCCAATACTTTTTGGTGAGGGGACACATCAGTCANACTTTGTGGTGAGGGGACACATCAGTCATTCGGGACAGGATATACTTTGTGGTGAGGGGACACATCAGTCATAAGGGTCAGGATATATCCCCATTTCTTTGTGGTGAGGTGACACATCAGTCATTTTGGTCAGGATATATCCCCAATACTTTGTGGTGAGGTGACACATCAGTCATTGGTCAGGATATATCCTCAATAATTTGTGGTGAGGCCTCACATCAGTCATTTGGTCAGGATATATCCTTAATACTTTGTGGT